CTGCTCATATACATACATGTAAGAATCTTACCAAAATGTACCAATACAAGCTTCAGAATGAAACAAATATAGTGACACAAAGCATAGTATTTCAGAGGGCCATGAAATGATGGTGACAGATAGAAATCAGCTTTGACATCTACACATACATCCCCGACCTTTACAGTTGCATTAGCAAATAGCAACCCTCATAATTCATATCAACTTATCCCCCAATGTGATTAATGTTTGGTTTATGCTGATGATAAGCAGGAGCGCCATCTTGATGATGTGAACAAGCAACTGAAGACCAAGGTTTCACTGGAACTATCATCGGTGCTCATAACATTGAACTCCACCCTTATTCTGCCATTACTGCCTTCTAGCTAGCTTCACCATTGAAATGTCAGGCTAGCTAACACAGAATTTCCTCTGCATTTTGCAGCTTGAAGCTGCAGAAGGACAAGGGCTTGGGGCGCTTCTCTGTCCATGGAATAGCTCAAACGCATCGGCGGCGACGACGAGTGTAGCATATGAGGTAGTGGAAGGAGTGGGGATGGCATTGGTGGCAAATCTTGCATATGAGGTGGCGGAGGAGACAATATCGTATGTGGCGGAGGCGGCGAATGTTGCATATGCGGGGGTGGAGGAGACGAGACCAGATGATGTAGAGGGAGTGGGGATCAATTCTGCCAGTGCCACTATAGTCGTGGGACTAAAAGTGCAAAAAACTCTGAAATTTGGCTATCAGCTGCTAGCGAGTAAGTATGTAAACCCTAAACCCAACGGCCAGGCCATTATTGCATTGCATGTCAACTAACTAACGCGTTTAATTTCGATCTTCTGATCTTCATGCCCGTGGACCCCGCCTCCTTCTTCACTTGATGATGATATGATATTAATGGAAGATCAGACGGGTGAAACAACAACAATGATACGCCACGCCCACCCTATTCAATTCAAATCTTAAGTGGTGAACATAAAGATCCAAGTGCCATATACATGCCGTTTGGTTTTAAGAAGGGAATTCTAAGGTAAACGGGTGTAATTTTATGGAAAAACTAAAAATAAGGTGCGTGGAAAACACCCTAATATGGGATATGTTGAGATTAACAAGAACAAGAAACAATAATAATGGCAAAAAGGGTAAAGATGACAAGATTTACGTTGTTTGACAAAGTGCCTACATCCACGGGAGTGAAACAATACTCTTATTCATTGTGATGGTGATAGTGGTGACACCACCCTTTAGGGATACAACCAATATATTTATAGGCATCCAATCCCTTGTATAGGTCTACCCGTTTCACTCCTACTCCTAGTATGAGACAAACACTTATTCATAATCCATATATGAGACAAACTCAACAATCTCCACCTTGGCGAATATGTTCTTTAGGAGAAAAGATAACTCAACAAATCTCCACCTTGACGAATATGCTCTTTAGGAGAAAAGACTTATCTCACCATCTCCACCTTCACATATATGCCCTTTAGGAGAAGACTATCTCCACCTTCGCAAATATGTCCTTTAGGAGAAAAAGATAACTCAACAAATCTCCACCTTAGCAAATATGTCCCTTAGGAGAAAAGACTTATCTCACCATCTCCACCTTCACAATTATGCCCCTTAGGAGAAAAAAACTTATCTCACATATACACATGGGTAGGAACAACCATGCTCATCCCAACTAGCCAGCCACATGCATACGCAGCATCAAACGTTACCCAGTGCATGTACACGAACCGCTTTGTTCCAAGCCATTCGCCCCTCAGCCGTCGTCCTGTTATACCGCCGCGACTCATGCTTACTGTCCCGTTTAGCTGACCTCCTGCATCCGGCTCATACCAAGTCCATGTCCCCTCCTGGTATCCACGCTGCCCCTAACACAACAGCGCCCCTGCAAAGTCACACTAAACTCGTGTGCCTTGCCCAATGCTCCACTAACCACCAATTACCACTGGTCAGCAACACGCACCACGCAGCATCAAACGTTTCCCCGTGCATGTTCACGAACTGCTTCGTCCCAAGCAATCCGTAACACCAAGCCATATTAGCCCAGCTCATACCAGCCGTGACTCATGACAAGCCCGACTCATACCAGGTCCATATCCCCTCCTGGTATCCATGCTGTCCCTAACACAACAGCGCCCCTCACCACCTTCTCATCTAGCATCTAGAAACGCCCAACAAGTCCAAATAATGTTCGAACTTGTTACTAGTTACCGCTAGAACATCACCTTCACTATAATAAGAGTCATCAGCTTGAACCATGTTCATAGCTTCCTGCTTCTTCAAGTCCTTCCAATCAGCCTCTTTCAGATTTGCTGAATTTTCTGCCCTCAAGGTTTTCAGAAGGCCCTGATATGCCAACAAATCCTTTACCCTAGACCGCCATAACCCAAAATTCCCTATACAATCAAATTTTGATACCTCGAATTTTATACTTGAACGGACCATCTCAACAGTGCTCTGATACCAATTTGTTGAGATTAACAAGAACAAGAAACAATAATAATGGCAAAAAAGGGTAAAGATGACAAGATTTACGTGGTTCGGCAAAGTGCCTACATCCACGGGAGTGAAACAATACTCTTATTCATAGTGATGGTGATAGTGGTGACACCACCCTTTAGGGATACAACCAATATATTTATAGGCATCCAATCCCTTGTATAGGTCTACCCGTTTCACTCCTACTCCTAGTATGAGACAAACACTTATTCCTAATCCATATATGAGACAAACTCAACAGGATACCAATTAAATAGGTATCAACCTAATTTGAAAATATTAATAGTTAAGGATCAAATGTGATACAAATTACCAAACACTTTGTGTTCAAATAATATATAATGACCTCTCCCATGTGGGAGAGAGGTCATGAGTAGCATTCAAAAATATATATATATACAAATTACATAATCATGCATTATCTAATTAATTTAAAAATATTAATAATCAAAGATTAAATTTGATATATGCACAATAGTCAATGGACTAAAAGTCAAATTCATTTTAATTCTTTAATTTCAATCAAACTATAAAATCTTTCTCTTCTTAAAATCAAAATTTTTTATTTTTTAAAATTAAGTGGAATGGTAATTTCTCTGTATCAAACACCCAAATATGGGATAGGAGTCAAACGGAGGAATTGAAACCATGATGGATAAGTTTCTTTAAAAAGCTGGGACCCCAACCATAACCTTAGTCACATGCAATTGCAACATATTTAAATATTATCTACCCCTGCCTGCATAATACAATGTAGCCCCTACATATACCTACTTGGTATGCACAATACTATCTATATATATAGAGAACAATACTATATTTCTAGAGCACAACCTTTTATCAATCTTTAATTTTAATGAAATGCCATGCGTTCAAAATTCATTAGATATGTGTATGCAACGTACACATGAATTGTGTTCCTAAAAGAAGCTAAGTTAGATCATATGGAGCTCTAGTACAATATGCACATATTCGTTATTGTTTGATTTAAGTCATCATGTATATCTGATTAAATTTTAATAATTAAAATTTTATTATTACATACGTAAATCAAATAAAAATATTATATTTCGACCCGTATTTAGTAAGTTGAATTCAAAGGACATTTTCTCTATAGTGTGACTTTTACCGTCTCTAGCAATTATACATGAAACCTATATGATATTATTAATTAAGTTGTACCTGCAAAGCACAGCAAGGCAAATTTTATATCTAGGTTAGTAGTAGGTTAGGTTGAAATTGAACATATTTGGCCAAAACAATTATATTTGTAGGGGACGTTTGGGCCTTGATGTTACAATGTGTACAAGACCATGTTATTGCTGTTAACATCATTATGTGTCCAATGGTATCATTTTGTCATTTTTTTTTCTTTTAAAAAAATTTAAGAGATAAGAAAAAAGAAGAAGTAAGCTAAGAATTGAATTGCAAGCTATCCCGTAAGTAAAAAATAAAAAATAAAAATAGTGAATGTGCAGTGGCGGAGCCAGGATTTATGTTGAGTGGGGGCGAAAAAGCAAAAGTGAATTAAAAAAAATGATCAAATACAATGTTCGATCAAATACGAATAAAATTATTAAACAACTATATCCTAACTAACATTAACTAATTATTCTAAAAAAAAGAAAATGGCAACTAAATTGGTAGATGGAGAAAGGAAGTCGGCTAGAAAATGGCAACTAAATTGGTAGATGATTATTCTAAATAAAAGAAAATGGCAACTAAATTGGTAAGAGATGGAGAAAGGAAGTCGGCTATAGAAATAAAGGCCTTACCATCTAAACTAACCTACACTTTGTTAAAATCTTGGTATGTTTAATATATATCCAATTTATATGGGATAGGGTAGTGGGGGCAACTGCCCCCATTGTGGCTCCGCCACTGTGAATGTAATTGTAGATATGAGTTCATTACAAAAGATAAAAATTTCACACAGTATAATATTGATAAACTAGATAAAAGAAGTTGATGATAAAGAAAGTAAGAATTGAATTTATCATAGAAAATAAAATATAATGTTGCATGAAATGCAAATAATATAATGGGAGTGGGGACAATGAAACCAAAAAGATGTGGTTTTTTCCACACGTTGGACCCCAACCTCCACCATAGTCACATGTTACTGAAACTGATTGTTGGGATCATAGAAATGGCATCCTCCCCCACATGCATATATGATTCCTATGCCATTCCTTACAGAGATATTTGCAATTTGTATTACCCTGTAACAACGTGATGCTGTCATTGTAAACTAGGAAAGATGCTATGATTATTACCTTCACTGGGGCATCTGATCTCTATTTTACAATATTTTACTGATGCTTTTTAGTTTTTAAGGGTATAGTAAGTTAGTTTTTGTTTCATTTTCAGTAAATAAGATATTTTACTAAATTAGAAATTGCGAAATTGTCACCTAAACCATTTTCATTTTCAGTAAAATAAGATTTTTTACTAAATTAGAAATTGTGAAATTGTCACCTAAACCAGCTCAATCCTCTGTCCATAAATACAAGCAGCACTGCACCTAAAACCCCCGAGCGGCAAGTGCCTTACTTCACCTCTAACTATGGACTTATTATTTTCTCCCTCTCTTTCTGTGCTTTTAGTTTTGATTCTTTGTTTATGCGGTGCTGATTTTGTGTACACAGCACCAAACAAGATTGGACAAGGCTACCGTTTGGTCTCTCTTGGAGAGTCCCCTGACGGTGGCCTTCTGGGTGAACTCCTTGTCAACAAGAAAAACAATATCTATGGTCCTGATATTCCTCATTTGCAGCTTTATGTTAAGTAAGTCTTCCTAACTTCCTACCTAAATCCTACTGCTTTTCTTCCAAGCTTTCTCTTTTGTTTCCTTATGTGATACATTGCACAGCATTCTTGAATTGAAGAAAGATTGATTTTTTTTTGGGGGGGGGGGGATATATGACTTTGCAGACATGAATCAAATAATTGCTTGAGGGTTCACATTACAGATGCAGAGAAGCAGAGATGGGAAGTCCCATATAACCTTTTACCCAGAGAAAAGCCTCCATCTTTGAAACAAGCCATTGGTATTAATTCAAGAAAGAGCCCTTTTCCACTTGGGAGCTCAGAATATTCTGGGAATGACCTCATCTTTAGCTACATCTCTGACCCTTTTAGCTTTGCTGTGAGAAGAAAATCAAATGGGGAGACCCTTTTCAATTCCAGCTCTGAGGGATCCGACCCGTATAGCAATTTGGTTTTCAAGGACCAGTACCTTGAAATATCCACCAAATTGCCCAAAGGTGCTTCACTGTATGGGCTTGGGGAAAGCACAAAGCCCCATGGGATAAAGCTGTACCCTAATGACCCTTATACCCTGTACACCACTGATATATCAGCCCTTAATCTGAATATGGACTTGTATGGGTCCCACCCAATGTACATGGACTTGAGGAATGTGAATGGGGAGGCATTTTCCCATGCAGTCCTCTTGCTCAACAGCAATGGGATGGATGTGTTCTACACTGGGACTTCTTTGACATACAAAGTGATTGGGGGTGTTTTTGACTTTTACTTCTTCTCTGGTCCCTCTCCTCTTGATGTTGTTGATCAGTACACCGCCTTTGTAGGCAGGCCAGCTGCAATGCCCTATTGGTCTTTTGGTAAGTTCACTTTAGTGTTGCTGTCTTTCTTTCTTTTCTGCCCAATAATTTTGGTACTATTTACTATGGATTGGAGCATTTATATTAGAATTGGTTGGAGTAATAAATTGAAACCTGGTACGACTTTCCATGTTTGAAAATTGTAAATAATTTATAATGCCCCCACAGGACCTTAACCTTGCATTGCACTTTAGCTTATATATAGTTTCATGACCAAATTTTTAAAAATGTAGGACATAAAGGTAGAACAAGAATAATAACTTTTTTTTTTTTTTTTTTTTTTTTCAATTAGACCTGAAACCAGCCATTAAAATATATATGTCCTTTTGTATATGTGTTTCCAAATTTTTTTAATGTGGGAGTGTTTTTGCGTGTCATAATTTATAAGACAAGCATTGTTTCAGAGGGACCATATGGTACCAAAAATAATAATAATAATTTGAAAAGAATCTTGCCAAAGATTTTTCTTTTTCCTTGTCTGATTTGTTGGTGTGAAAACGATGAACATATTCTTTCATGACAAGAGCTTTGATCTACTGATAAATGCAGTGTGAAAAGACTTACAATCACATTAGGCGGTTGATACCAAGACAATTGCTGCATAACATAGATCCCAATTAATTGTTTAACCTTGATTCTGATTTCTTGTATATATTTTACAATTAAAGCAGTGTCTCATATAAGAATATTGACAATTTCTTGATTTGTTTGGACATGAGTTAAAACCCGTGACTTGTTGGATTTATTTTAATGTATGAGATTGAGATGGTATCTCTGATCTGCCAATGTATAATTAACTTTGGCCTTATTATATGTTGTCCCCTCCTTTGGCTTTTATGGAACTGGTCTCTTTTAATGATAGGAATTGTGGCCTTAAGAAGGATAACTTATTGTATAGTTAGTTAGACTGATCTAAGTATTGCCTAGCTATATTATATAATCAGCAAAGTACTCATTTTTGTGGAAATCTGAAAATGCTAAATTTCAATTTAAGTGATTTTGAGTTATAAATTAAATTTAAGATGCTAGATATACAGTAGTAACTATGAACTCCGTGTTTAGTTAAATAAAGATTACAGGGGCTGGCAACAATTAGACATAGGAAAGAAGAAAAGTCAGAATAAGACATTATAATATTGTTTGTGTCATATCTGTAGAAGATTGCTAGCTATGGACTAGCTAAGGGTCATGATTGAGTTGATAAACAAATCTTTGCTCAGTCTTGTATTGATTCATGTGACTTATTTTAGTTTTCCACCTTCTCTGGCTAATCATGATGTCATTTAATTTGGTGGATTATTAATTATATCAAGTTTCTGATTAACGTGTCACATTTTTAGTGCCTCAAGTTGGAAAATTGATATTTTTAAAGCCTTATATATATATATATATATATATATATAGTGTGGTTGGTGTTGTTGCGTGAATTATTTATTTGGATTCAAGTAGTGTCACACTCATTCCAGCTTCAATGAAGAAAAACAAGACATTTACACGTTATTATGTTGATCCAGTTCCTTCTTGCCTGTACTCTACTTTTGACTACATCACTATCTCATTGCCCTTTTCATGGTTTGATTTGATATCCAGAACCTACTTTTTTCTTTTTTATTATGCAAGAACAGATTTTTTCAATTTGAGCTATAGGATCTGATCTCAGGGCCCCACAAGGAGGCATCCAATCTTCAGAGATAGAAAAACCAAAGTTTCCTTGTCTTTTAAACTCAAACCTCAGTTTTGTTATAATGTTATGCCACCCCCCAAACCAAAAAAAAAATGTCGTCTAAGTGTCTAACTGTCATTTGATGCTTGCTAAATGCCACTCCAGTACCAAATTTGATTAAATCCAGTTATGGATAATAAGAATTTCTCTCGATGCTGCAGGGTTCCATCAATGTAGATGGGGTTACCACAATTTGTCTGTACTTGAGGACGTTGTTGATAACTATCAGAAGGCCAATATCCCTCTTGATGTGATTTGGACTGATGATGATCACATGGATGGAAAGAAGATCTTTACCCTCAATCCAGTGAACTATCCTCGCCCAAAGACATTGGCATTCCTAGATAAAATTCATGCACAAGGCATGAAATACATTGTCATTGTAGATCCTGGAATTGGTGTGAACAAAAGTTATGGAGTCTACCAAAGAGGTATAGCCAATGATGTGTTCATCAAGTATAAGGGCAAGCCATTTGTGGCCCAAGTATGGCCTGGAGCTGTTAATTTCCCCGATTTCCTTAACCCAAAGACTGTTCAATGGTGGGTTGATGAAATTCATCGATTCCATGAACTTTTACCGGTTGATGGGCTTTGGCTTGACATGAATGAAGTTTCCAACTTCTGTAATGGTTTGTGCACACTACCAGAGGGTAGGATTTGCCCTAATGGAACTGGACCCGGTTGGATCTGCTGCCTAGACTGTAAGAATGTAACACAAACCAAATGGGACGATCCACCTTACAAGATCAATGCTTCTGGAATAGAGGCACCTATAGGATACAAAACCATTGCTACAAGTGCAGAACACATCAATGGAATTTTGGAGTATGATGCCCACAGCATTTATGGTTTCACCGAGACTGTTGCCACTCACAAAGGCCTTCAAGCACTTGAGGGCAAGCGGCCATTTATATTAACCCGCTCTACATATGTTGGTTCTGGCCACTATGCTGCTCACTGGACAGGGGATAACAAGGCAACTTGGGAAGATTTGAAGTATTCAATTTCAACAATGCTGGATTTTGGATTATTCGGTGTGCCTATGGTGGGGTCAGATATATGCGGATTCTATCCAGCACCTACAGAAGAGCTGTGCAACCGGTGGATCGAACTAGGTGCTTTCTATCCTTTTTCAAGAGATCATGCTAACTACTATTCTCCTCGACAGGAGCTCTATCAGTGGGCGTCAGTTGCTGAATCTGGACGTAATGCTTTGGGTATGAGATATAAGCTTCTTCCATATATTTACACTTTGAACTATGAAGCACATACAACTGGGGCACCAATTGCTAGACCACTATTCTTCTCTTTCCCAACTATAACCGAACTATATGGGTTGAGCACTCAGTTCTTGCTAGGAAGCAGTGTCATGGTCTCTCCAGTGCTGGAAGCGGGCAAAACTGAGGTCACAGCTATTTTTCCTCCGGGCACTTGGTACAATCTGTTCGATATGACACAGGCCATTGTTGCAAAGGAGCCAAAGTCGTTCACACTCGATGCACCTTTGCATGTGATCAACGTGCATTTGTACCAGAATACCATAATTCCTATGCAACGTGGTGGAGTGAGAACTAAAGAAGCACGAGCAACCCCATTCAGCCTTATAGTTGCCTTCCCATTGGGGGCTTCTAGTGCACAAGCCAAAGGAACGCTCTTCCTTGACGAGGATGAGCTCCCTGAAATGAAGCTTGGAAATGGGTACTCAACATTGGTAAAATTCTATGCAACAGCCAGCAATGGAACCACTAAGGTATGGTCAGATGTTGAGGAAAGCAAGTATGCATTGAGTAAAGGGTGGATCATAGAGAGAGTAACTGTACTAGGGTTGAATGCAATTGGGGGGCAGTTTAAAATTGAAGTTGATGGAAGCCCAGTTGCAGATACTTCCAAGGTGAAGTTTAGCACGACCGGACATACATATCCTCAGGCTCAGGCACAGGAAAGCGAAGGAGTTAAGAACATGCTGCTTGAGATTAATGGTTTGGAGTTGCCTGTAGGTAAAAACTTTGCCATGTCATGGCATATGGGCATCACTGCTTAGCTTGAAGAGGGCAGGCTGGCTGGCTATCAAGGCCGGGGCCGGTTTCTGTCTTTATTAAAACTAGCTAGCTTGTACCAATGTACCATGCATCATTTCAAGTTTCGATCTGTTACAGGAAAGGAAATGGCCGGGTTGAAAATTAAGACGTTCACAGATAGGCAGCAAATTAAACAGGGTTTGAGGCCGGTTTAAGATATAATATATATATATAGTTACCATTTCCATCTTGTGTTGGTTTTGATATCTAGTGTAGTCATGTTGTTTCAACCATAATTTTATTATGCTGTACTTTTGTTGCACTATATGGTCTGATCGATCGAGACTGTCAGTAAGTTTGGAGATGAATAAAAAGGAATGGTAGCACTGCACAGCTAAGTAGCGTGATCGATATATGACTCAAATGGTACACTTTGATTCATCATTTTCTCCATCTCCAATCTCCAATCTCCATTCTCCATTCTCCAGTATGGCAGTATGGTATGGTGAGTGAGAAAAGATCAGAAAAAGCATATATACTACTACTGTAATTTTCAGCTTCTACCTCAGTTCGACTCTGTACTCTTTATTTCGCTAATATTCTCTTGACTAATAATAATAATAATAATCAATCATTATTACGTAAATATTTTATTTTATTTTTAAATGACGGCTTAGCTTGCTTCTTTGTTGCATCATATCGCTCGACGCTCAATCATCTCATCACTACTTCAATGGTCAACTTTTCTCATAATGAAATTTATGCTAGCTACTCCAAATTAAACCGTGTTTACTTTTCTTTCATTTACGGATGCTATGAATCTAATCATCTTGCAGCTTAATCACTCATTTTGAGATGGGCCCTGCCAGCTAATTAACATGATGTTAAATTTTACATTTTCAACCCAAACAATAATAGCATAATACCAACTTAATGAAACTCGACAAATTATATCAAAGTAAACTCTTTTGACAATTCCTTTAGAATGATGTGAATGAATTAAAATATATTGATACTATCTTGTTTCAATGTACCAGCAATTTTTTCTTTATAACATATTTAAATGGCTAACATATGAGATGATATGAAAATATTTACATTACATCATTTTAACTGAATTTTATGTATGTATTCACTTGCATGCAAGTACATATATTATTTTATTATTAAATTAAATGGTATTTCATTTTAAGAGGATTACAATAATATAGTTTGTTCAACTTCAATAATGTGTAGTAGCAAATGTAGGGTTACAAGTGGGCTCAATCGTGAGGGGGAATGAATACTGAATACACAGGCCATATACATCAAATGAGATCATATAATGAATTGAAGGTAAATAATGCAATGTTTCTTCCTTGGAGAATATGACAGGACTAAGATATTGAAAGCCGCATAATTATTGATTCACGCATTTGAACCTCCTTTCTTTTATTTTATTTTATGTACTGTAATTATTATAGGCAATAGTACGAAGTACAAAGTTGATAATATATCTTGTCACGTTTTTGGCATAGGCACAATAAATATAAGACTTTGAGTTCCATTTTAGTTGGTAATGCTTATAACTATATATGGTTTTCACATACTAATAAACCACAATCAACTCTAAACTATTTATAAAGTAGACAAATTTCTTTATGTTGTAACATGAAAAAGTAACCCCACATTAAAAGAGTAAGATGATAAATAATTAAATACTGTACTTTATAAATGTACTCTTTTAATCTCCTATTATAATATTTTTTTTTAAAAAAAATTATGCATTGTGAGGCTCCGGCATCACTTGACAGAACAACTTAAATTGTAAACATTTCTTAAGTAGTGTACTAGTGTTTATTATTGTCATCATAATTTGATTATATTATTACATAAAGGACATCAAAAAAGAGTAGCCTAAGATTGGGTAAAAGTGGAGAAATGGTCCAATCTCACAACATTTAGTTGAGAAGGCGTGGGGACAAAGTAGTGCCCGGTATGGCCGTGGCGGTGGCAGTGGGAGAGGCTAGAAGAATCACGGCGGGTATCCTGGTGCGGGTCGTTGTCGCATGGGGTCGGTACTAGCGTGTGTAGCGTTGGCTGATGGATAGCGATTACGATAGGGTTGGCGATCGTGGCATGCGTGACTATAACCCGATTGCGGCAGAGGGGTTCGAGTCAGTGTCTGTCGTAGTGCGCCTGGCGACGGCGGCGGCGACGATTGTTTGACAATTGGCGAGAATGGAGGGGGACCATGCGAAGGCGCCAAATCCCAGGAGGGGTGTGACCATGGGGTCTGTGTCTTCTCTCTTCTACTAGCATACCAGGATTCGACTCTGAATAGTCGCATTATTATGTATAGTCCATCACTTAGGCTATATTCCACATTATCTATTATTTATTTTTTAGGTCGCTATTTTGGGCCAAGTTTTTGGACTTTGTACATACTATTTTGGGCCTAGCTGCCTAGCACCCCGAGTAATAGTATTACTATTTTCTTACCCCCCATTATGTACTTCCACACAGTTTATGGTATGGAAGTACATAACTGCTTACGGAAATATGTGGCCTTAATGCCTTACCATCTATGCCAAATTAATCTTTATTTAAATTTTGGTATATTTAATATATATAAACGCTTACTATATATATAAAGAACCTAATATATATAAAGGAGATAGGGAGGGGGAGGAGGGGGCAGTTGCCTCCATTATAGATCCGCCACGAATAATAATAAGTGCAGGGATGGAATCGAAATGAAATTATTCCCCTGTTTATATACTTGAAATAAATATTACACCAACAGCCACTTGTGCATGCTAGTGTGCAGTGAGGGTTGGGGTGATTTGGACCGTCAAGGGGGATTGGATTTGCTGCTCTAATGTCTAATGTCTAAACAAACAGTCTCACGTGCTCAATTAATTTGTCTTTTAATTACTTCATATTTAAGTATTTCGTACGTTGTATCAACGTGCATTCATAGTGTCAACACACCACGGAACGGAATATAATATTTGTAGTTTGGTAGATCAGAGATCCAGATGGGAGATTGGAGTTAGTAGCAGAGGCAGGGGTGGTCTGTGGTCATGTCGAGTGAGGCTTCAATTCTTTGCATTCTTGTCCCAAAAAAAAAAATGATGCATCTCATTATGTTATTTAAGATTCGCACACGAGGTTATTTTTGTTGTTTTAATTACTTACAGAATAAAAATTAATTTTAAGAAAAATAACATTTTTTTCTATTGAATTATATTACAGTATTTTTTTCTTATTGAATTATTTACAATAGCCCCTCAATCATTTTAAAGTGACAATTTTCTCATCTTTTATGTTAAATGGACTTTTTACAATTTAAAATAAGGGCAAACATGTATTTTATTTTTAAAGGTAAAAATTTACATTTAACAAAAAAGGAAAGAAAATCAACACTTTTAAAATAAATGATGAAGCTAATGTGGATACATAAATCATTCAGAGGAGAAAATGTTATAAACATATGATTCAAGAGGAAAAAAAAAATTATCATTTTTCTTAATTTTAAATCACTCCCAACTAGCCAACTACCATTAGTATGATGACATCCTGATTATCATTCCAAATGGATGGTCAACTAACTAACAAATTGAGTTGTCCGCAGACTCAATCTCAGATCATTATTCCCAATCTTCACCTTTATAATCAATTGAGTTGCCTATGCGGACATAACGTACCAGCATAACTTCCATTAACTAAAGCTTGCTAAGATATCAAATCAAAACCTACAACAAAATTTATTCTTCCAACTACCATGCAAACTAGAGTCTTATACCACGCCTGGAACTGAACTTCCACTCACCCAGACGCCCACCACACTTAAATGCGACTACTCTACTCTTTAATGGTTGGTTTATCACATAATTACATTTAGTTTAATTATCAAGTTAAATATATAAAACCTTTTAAAAATTAACATTTCTTTTTTTCATTTCCAACATGTCTCCTTGCGAGAGGTTTACTAAAATGGCATAAAATATTATTATGAAGTATCTGTCCATATATATTGTCTTTATTAGGGTTTGAACGTGTAACTTCTTATTTGAGAAAATTATAAAACTATTATTGAGTTACAAACTATTTAGTTAAATAATGCTTAATATTTATATATATTTAATATTTGTATACATATATAATATTGGTTTGGGTCTTGTGTCCTTTGTTTGTCTATATATGTTGTTGATGAGTGATGGCATTATATGCATGTATGGCATAAAAGCATGGCATAGTGATGAGATATGAATCCGCCCATATTTATTACACAATAAAAAAATACAAAAACTTGATGCTTTGGGAGAAGTGAAGGGCAATGAGACTATGAGAGAGAAGTGAAAAGGACGAGTAGAGAGGGAGAAACAGAAGAGCCAACCAAGGTACACTGCAAAACCCATACTTTATACCTACACCCATATATATATATATATACGTTATACATATCAAAATATCGAAAAAGTTAAAAAATCTCACCCATCGTATTTATAGCGTATCGAGATTTGAGACTGTCAATACATTACCAAAAATTTCTTTACTGACCAATTCAGTCTTTTAGTCAAGTCTTCATTTTTTTTTTTTTTGCCTTCCCACAACTACCCACCCACTGACCCACCAAATGGTATTAAAAACAGTAAAGCCGGTCAACTAATAAACACGAAATATATGACATAATCATTTCAAAACTACAAACTTTAAGTCTTTAACACATAAAAAAAGAGTAAAATTTCCATTTGTTTACCATTTCATCATATAACAAGGGCCATTTCCTCACTGTGTTTTTTTATTCTTCTAATTTTTTAAAATGATCAAAAAAATCAACAGAATAAATAAATTATATTATAAAACGCAACAACTCAACTAAAATCATATTAACAAAAATTAAACAGTAATATTCTAATATAATAACTTCGCTGATTGGGCATCATTCTTTTTCTATTTTTGTATGCATCAGTGGGTTTTAGCATTCTGGTTCTGGGGTTTTGTCACGTTGTAGAGAGAGAAATCTAGGCCATAGATTATAGATACCTAATCTCATTTCATATCTAGAAAGGGAGGTTTTGGGTTCTTTGGTTGTTGATAAAGGTTGGTCTTTTTTGTATCTATAAATAAGAGTATCTGTTCCGATAGCTTCTCTTCGCCTTTGTTCATTTTTTTTTTTCCGGCTGTGTGAAGGGCCCTAGAGAGAGAGTGTGTGGGTGTGGGTGTGGGTGTGTGTGTGTGTGTCTGTGTTAGAGTGTGAAGGGGTGTTGTGGTAGAAGAGATTTATGTCGGCAAGGTCTGGGTTGGGTATTGTGATTCGGGCTCCTCTCTTGAAGCTCTGTGTCATCATCGTGTCATCTGCGCTGTTGATTCATCTTTGTATGCAAAGAATCCTCCTCTGCTGTGCC